CACCGGTCGGTTATTCACAGACGTCGACGTCACCCTCGTCCATGTCCGCTGCAACGACGCCGGCGCCGGAGAGATCGATTTACCTCCAGATATTCACGACCCCGTCGCGCCGCTCGCGAATCTCTCTCTTCCACCCTCGCCAGCCACATATTGACGACCCCTTCTCGTCTCACCGGGCAAAATCCGGCGATGCTCAGCCCTCTATCGACTCCCAAGAACAGGTTGTGGAGTTTGACGTCATGTAGTCGGGCTTAGATGCAGATGAATTGGAATTGAATCGTGATAAGGGCCTCAATTGAAAATTTGATAAGCATTAGAGGCTTGTTTGGAATTTTAATTATTTTTTTTATATATTTGAATTGAGTACCTGGGCAAAAATTGCAATTTATAGAACTTCATAAAAAATATTATACTTTATATATTTTTTATACACATAAATATTAAGATAAAAATCAAAGATTAAATAAAAAATAATGCACAAAATTGAAATAATATAAAATAATAAATAAAAAATATCTAATTAATTAATAAAGTCTTATAATATAAAAAATAAATTATTCTGATTGTTTAGGTTAATTCGGTTAACCAATTATAACATACTCACACTGCATAGTGAATAATGTTATTAAACAAGATGCACATTAATGACTATTAGACTGCATAATAGTGTTATACCAAATGCACACTAATTTGAGAATGCACTTACATTAACATATATCAGAATGCACAATAATGATGTGCCAAATGCACATTAACGCATTTGCGAATGCACATTTCTTCTAGCATAACAATATGCATTTTCACATATATCAATTTTTTTTTGGCTCTATCTAAAAAGAAATTACAGAACACCAAATTATATAAAAAAAATATTATTTTTATATTATATATATTATTTATTTCAAATCAACATCAATATACAATATTAATATATAAATATTTATAAATACAAATAATTTCTATTCGATAAACAATCTAATAACTGCACAATATGTCAGTATAAATACACATTATTAAAATTTTCTAAAATAAAAATGCACATAAAAATTATTTGCACCAGTGATTGCACATTAATGTTAGACCATATGCGCATTAATGTTATACCATATGCACATTAGTGTATTTGGGTATGCACGTCATCGGTTACAGTTTTTAGTATATTATGTCTTTTCACAAAAATAATTTAAAAATATTATAAATAATTATTTAAATATTACTATTTTTATAAAGTAAAAAATAATTTATTTGGAATTTTTAAAGTAATTTGGTTAACCGTACCGGTAAACCCAATAAGTCGTACAAATTCAATTTGGTTTGAGACAAATGTTCGATCTATTCAGACTGCACAATAGCGACTGAATCAGTGCACCATACGTTAGACATATTGTATATTAATGATTATTAGATTGAACAATATTGATGTCAACTTTATTTACAATAAAAAAAACAAATTGATCGAACCATAATAAAAAAAATATTATTTTGTTAATTTTTTTTTTTTTGCATATATATTTTTTACATACACATATTGACAACTTACTTATTTTTATTGTACATTTATTGTGATTTTCATATATTATATTTAACACATGAATTAATTAAACTACAAGTTCTTAAAATTACAAAATGGTCCCTACAATATGTCTAATTTCTATTAACATGCCCCTAAACTCTGCAATTTCACGCCTTTGAACATGTTTCTACACTTTATCACAACTTCTTCTCCACATCTTCAGCATAATGTCGTCGTCGGTTACATCATCCCGCCGGTCACAGAGATCTCGAAATCGGGACACTCCGATTCAAGCGACAAAACTGTCGGCCGACACCGAGTTGTGCCGCGTGTGCGGAGCTATCAACTGGTGGCGCCGATGAGAAAAGCGAGGGATTGGCGAATGCCTCGTTCTATGGCGGCAGAGTGGTGGTGTCGGGGTTGAAGCGTTGTCATATCGTCGGAATATCAACGGGCGGCGGATCTGAAATGTAGGGAAGGCACTATCGGACGACACTTGTCTCAGGCTACGGTCGGCGGAGGCGCGTCGGAAGGCAACGGGCTGTGGTTGCTCCATGGTGTCTGACGGTCAGAGGTTGTGTGTGTACTGAGTGTGTGAGGAAGAATTAACTCTGTGTGTATGTGTGTGTGTGTGAAATGTGTGCTGTGTGTGAGAGACGGATAAGTGTTTGATACATTGGTAGGCGGGGTATGGTAGACATGGCCAAGGGCCGCCCGGCCCGTCGACTTGGCACGGTCCCAGCCCGGACCCAGCATGGACTCGGCCCGGTCAAACCGTTGACCACAGGTCCAGGACCCGGGCCGGGCGGACCCGGGCAGTGTCAAGGTCATCCATTTCATGACCAGGGCTGTGCTGGGTCGATGACTCTCTTTTTCTATTTTTTTTAATTTTTTTCTTTTGTTTTTTTAAAAAATGACGGACCCGGCCCAGCACGGACCTGGACCCCGCCCAGTCAACCAGACCATTGACCCGACACGAGTATAGGTCCGTGACGGGTCTGGGTTATTGTTTTCGAGCCCGCGACCCTGCCTGGATTTTGCCCATGTCTAGGGTATGGTGAGTGATGTGAGTTGGGGTTGGTGGAGAGGATGGGTCCCATGAGTATTTGTCTAATTAAACATATACCCTTAATGAGGGTCAAATACATATGTTTGACTACATGTTTGAATATTATTTAGTAAAATTTGACTTAATCATGACCATTCATATGGTATATTCAGTGGCTTAGGTTCATTCTTATTTCTTTTACTGTGATTCATTCTTATTTGAGCGCACTTCTTCTCTCTCTCTCTCTCTCTCTCTCTCT